AAGTTAAATAAATAAATAAATAAATAAATAAATAAATACATACATACATACATACATACATACATACATACATACATACATACATACATACATACATACATACATACATACATACATAAAAATATGCCTGTTCATTAATATTTCATGTTGTTAACTGTACAGATAAGTAAAAAGATTGCTGTAACTGTCCCAGGGCAGCTGTTTCCAAATTAATATGTATTTTTATTTTCTGCTTCGCTCCTGAAGGGGGCCACGGCTGAAGCCTGTCAAACCTGAGCTTTTTAGATAAGAATGAAGTCTGCATTGTCAACATTTTTATACCTCTTGAAACCCAGCCTCCCATTTGTACTTTTGCTAACATAAAACAGATAACAAGTTAGATTAAGTACTAATAAAACAATTGAGACATTTGGAACATGTAAACTGTTAAGAAAACTAAAGAAGGCGTATATTAGATAAAGGGCTAATGGGCTCAGATGTTAATTTGGCACGTTCTGAAACGCCTGAGAAAAAAAGGGCCTACCTCAGGCTCAACACCCTCAGCCGGCAAAGTGTGTGTAGGATGGGTAGTCCCTGTTGGGAATATTCTGCCATTTACCGGGAGCCTAAATTGTTTATAGCCAATTAACTTGAGACCTTCCCCGGCATATTTGCATAAAAAGGAACTTTTAATGGGGTCCAAAAAACACAATATATTATTTTTTATAATATAATTCTAATCTAATATATTAATATTAATATAATGCATAATTATGGTGTAAATCTGCTTCTACCAGTTAAAATTGGAAAAAAAATACACATTGAGTTTTATTTTTTTATATTTTTTTTGGGTGTGGAAGCTACCTTCTCTTCATGTCTCTTCCCAACAGAAAAAGCCCCTTCAGTGCAACTTAAATTTAGTTTTCATGTTTTTGTCATGCATTTGTGGCTATAGTTTTCCCATAGCTGTAACCTTTGGATATTTTCAACAACTTTGAAGTATTTTATGCATATGGAACATAGAAGCAACGTGGAAATAAAGCTTGTAGAATTAGATAAGCTGATGTTGCCTGTAATTATTGCAACAGTGAAGCAACTTCCACTTTGATACCAAGATAAATTTTGATAGGATTGAAAATGGTTATCTGATATCATTCTGGAATTACCCCTTTCTGTGATAAACGCCTGCTGTAATAAGCACAGGCTTCTAAATTTTCCTAGAGATCTGTCAAGGTCTTTAGGGCTCTTAGGAAGGTATCAGAATTTCTGACCTTATATTTAAATGGAATTGTAAGAGCTCACAGCCTAAGGAACCTTGTACTCACGCTTTGAAAATGGTAGCTCTCTCATTATCTGCTTTCTTTACTTTATGATCTCTGTGCATTTTCCTTATGGAATAGATATTGCTAGAAACTACTGAAGATTCATAAGAAAAAAATATATCTTTTCGGTCCTTCTTTTCTGTTCTGATTTTGAACATTATGCTCTGTGCAAAGCCCTCATCAAAATGTAAATAAGATTATTTGAACTGTTTGGTTTGGTTTTGACAACAGTGTTGATAAAAAGGGCTAGGAATATGGGATTTTCTATTTATTTTTATCTGTAAATTTCATATGTAAGCAATATATGTAAGTATCTGGCATGTAGTGCATATTATAAACTTGCAGTGTATAATGGTTGTTTTGGCCTTTTGCTAAAACAAACTTTTTTATCTGCTTTCTTTGCAGGTCTTTTTGAGCATTTTGCTTCCTCATCCCACATTTTCTTCCTCATCTTTATCTCTGAATTAAGAGACGTGAGGATGGGCAGACTGACAGCAAGTTTCTCTTGCTTTTTTTTCTTAGGTGTGATGCAAACGAATGGGTGAAATCACCAGTTTTCTCTCCCGAATTAAAAGAGCGACTTGAGAAGTTCTCCAAAATACATCCTTTCCTGAAACCTGTCATTAAAACTTTCCAAGGTAACTGAACAGCCAATGCATGAATTTTTAGAAATAATTTTAAAGTATAGCTCATTCAGTTCCACTGGTTCATCCTAGTGATGGGATTTTTTAAAAAATTTAGACTACAAATTCCATCCTGGGACTGCTCATCGACATACAGACGCCTAGTGGTGGATCACGTGGTAGAAAGGCCTCAGCGGGAAGGCTTTGAGGCGGAACTAGGAGGAGCTCCACCTACTTTCCTGTTCAGAAAAGAAATCCGAATTAACACTGGAGCAAGAACAGGAAGCTTAGGTGAAGCAACTTCTCTGGCAGTTGAGTTGATTCAATGGGCCTATACTAGTTGTGACCTACTACACTAAGCAATGCGTTCCGGGCAATAAAAACAATAAGGTACAGTAGCTGGCCCACCGGACCACTCTAGGCGGCTCCAATGCGTTCCAGGCAATAAAAACAATAAGGTACAGTGGTGCCTCGCTTAGCGATTGCTCCATTGAGTGACGCAATCGCTTAGTGACGGGGTTTAAGCAATCGCAAAAGCGATTGCTTAGTGATGTTCCCTATGGGGAAAATTCGCTTTGCGATGATCGTGGGGAAGCGATCATCGCAAAGCGCCCATTTTCGGCCAGCTGATCGGCAGTTTCAAAATGGCCACTGGAAAAAGAAAATGGCTGCACGCTGGGTTGCCTCGCTTTAGAGGCACCGAAAATGGCTGCCCCATGGAGGATTTTCGCTTAAGGTTAGTTTTTAAGCCCATAGGTACGCATTAATTTGGGTTTAAGTGTTTCTATGGGCTTTTTAAATCCACTTAGTGATGAAATCGTTTAGCAACGTTTTTTCCTGCACGGATTAACATCGCTAAGCGAGGCACCACTGTACAACATTCTGTCATCCTTCTACCGGCGTAACTGATGGAGAGGAATTAGGAGCATTGCACATTCACACATTTCTTCCGTAGGTGTTACTTTTATACGACTTTAAAAAACGGGATATGGAGGAAAATGGAAAATTCTTGGCTGCCTTGCAAAGTTGATTAAGAGAAGCACAAGCACCACCCAGTGATCTTTCAGGGGAGAGACTGATTTGTTTCACCCCACACTCACTGAATAGTTCAAAAAGTAATGATTGAAAAATTAACCAGCCTTTGAAGGAAAATTAGTGAAGGACCTCTCTGGAAGGATGTAGAAGGTGCATCCTTTCAGGGGGGCAACGTTTTTTTAAGAAAGAAAAGAAAGTGTAACTAAATGAAATTTTCCTAGATTTGGACATGAAATCCAGTGGACTTCTAAAGCAAAGGATGAAAGCCCCTCTCAGCCTCTCCTCTGTCTTCCTACCTTGTGAAAAGTGTCACCATCCCCTCATTTAAAAAAATGAATTTACCACTAGCGGAAACAAGAGAAATGTCTGACTTAAGTTTTTTTAAAAAAGAAAAAAGAGATGGCCTTTGTAGAAATCTCTCTACGTTTATCTAATTTGCTTTCAAACGGTGGATAAGTGAATCAGTGAATACTGGTCCCATTGTTGAGGAGGTTCTATTGTATTATGAGAGAAGGAGAAAAGTTCCTTCTTATTCATTTCCCCCATACCGTACGTGGTTTTATATATTCCTGCTTTCTTAAATGAAAACTGCTCTAGGTTCCTGGCCAATGCCATGTCCTTTTGCGTTGCTAACATGCAGCTTCTGTCAAGTTCATTCAGAATCTTCATAACTCTTAGGCTGAAAATGACATCTTAAAGCAGGACTGTTGGAGTCTACTTGTGTCACCACTAATTTATCTTTGTTAACTTTCTTCTTTCCTAGATACTGTGCTGTCCAGAATTCGAGAAAACGAAGGTAATCATATTTCCACACGGTTGGCAATGTTTTGGGTTTGGATTTGATTCCCCCCCTTTTTGCTCGTAAAGAGGGAGAAGGGAGGAGATCAGAGAGGCTGCGTAAAAATAATCCTATGCCCTCAAGTCAATTCTGACTTATAGTGACCCTTTTCAGAATTTTCTAGGTAGAGGTACTCAGAAGTGGTTTCCCATTCCCTTCTTCTGGGGGTCACCCTGGGATTGTGCAGCTTGCCCAAGGTCACCCAGGCTGGCTCTACTCATAGGAGGCAACTCCCAACCGCTGGCTCTGCAACCAGGCACCTAAACCACTGAGCTATCCAGCCAGTTCAGAGGGACTGTAGCTAAATGAAAACTATACAGTGGTGCCTTGCAAGACGATGTTAATTCGTTCCGTAAAAATCACTGATAAGCGAAAACATCGTCTTGTGAAACATGTTTTCCCATTGAAATGCATTGAAAACCTGATAATCAGTTCCAATGGGAACGGATTGTCATCGTAAAGCGAAAATTCCCATAGGAAACATCGTTAAGCGAAACGTGGTTCCCAAGCGAAGACAGCCGTCTAACGAAACAGAGACCATTAAAAGACTCGTATAGTGAAGCAAGACCAAGCTGTCAAAACATCGTAAAGCAAAAAACAGGGACCTAAAATTTAATCGTCTTGTGAGGCAAGGTCCCTAACATCGTAAAGCGAAAATCGCCCATAGGAAACATCATTAAATGAAGCGCAAGATCGCTCCGACAACCTCATCGTAAAGCTAATTTGTCGTCATGCGAAGCAATCTTCTTGCGAGGCACCACTGTAATTAGGTTTTGGTCTAATGAATTTGGTCATTGCATTGCACAAGAATATACTGTATGAATTTTTTTAAGTACACACATAATTTTATAAGGCTTTCTAATGTCACCTTCGTTCAGCCTGGAGGCATGCGGTGCATCACAGCCTCTCCCAATTTGAAGAGACCCTCGCCCAGCAGGCTGAGGCAAAGAGGCAGTCACGAAAGCAGCAAAATCAGGGAGCTAGACGGGGTACAGATTGTATTTGTCCTAAGTGTGGAAGGGATTGTCACTCTGGAATTGGCCTTCTCAGCCACACTAGACGCTGTTCCAAGTCCTCCATGCAGAGCACGATACCATAGTCTCTCAAGACTGAAGGATGCCTATGATGAATGTCACCTTCCCAGCACCATTAAAAGCCACATGGATTGTATCTTTTACTCCTAGGGGATTTGCTACAGCACTTTGAATATGTTGACACCTTGGGATGAACAAGTCTGGGGGCTTTGCTTTCTTCCATTTCACATTCTGACTATCGGATATATGAGAAAAGTTGTGAATTGTACATGGTTCTTCTCAAAGCCAAACTGAAACAATGTCTTCCTGGCTGGTTCTGATATTCTTACTTAAGGGAATCATGTTGTACCTGCATGCAATCAATATTTTAAACATGAAACAAAATACATTTTTATTTAGTAATTAGATAACATTTACATACCAGTACTGTCATATTGTGCATCACACTTAGCTTTGAGCAGATCACTTTACTAAGCCTCTGGCCTCAGAAAGCTCTGACATTACCAGTCCCTGTTGCATCTGAGCATTGCCTACAGGCTCCACCTCCAATGAGCTGTGTTCCAATTGGTTTATTCAGCATCAACTGATGTCAGTTACATAAGGCTAGTTATTGGAGGAAGCGAAGTCTCCTGACTGTAGGAAGCTAAGCCTCGTGATTGGAGGAAGCCTGTTTGCAGAGGCAAGGTATGGGCAGTTTTGCAATCATGCGGTTCTCTCCTTGGCTTACCTCCGTGTATAAGATGACCCTCAATTTTTGTTATTCATAGTTTTTGGCATACGCAGGAGCAGAACCGATGCCTTGCGGATACCATCATCCTAAATTCTAAATTAAAATTTAAACTTTGAATTTTGAATCGTATGTAGATTATGTTACTAGCTTATTATCCTATAACTGTGCTAGATGTATTCCTGTGGTTTTATACCCCAATGAAGTTATTTATGGTCCTACTGTAATATAATTTAATGGCAATTTTTGGTAATTATAGAGGTCCTCTTTCCATCCTTTTAATAGATTAAAAAAATACTGTAAAGGAAATTTTGGGGAAAGAAGAGGGGAATATCTTGGCTAAATGTACTCCAAAGGGAAAATTGGACAAGAAAGTGGACTAGAAAAGTAGGAGAAACTAGAAAACTGACAAAATTTGAGGAGATCATTGAGCAAAGACAAGTTCAAGAGGAAGGAAACAAAAGGGCACAGTTAGTGAAATTTGTAAGATTTAACACAGGTTGGATCTGAAAAAGCTATGTTGAAAAACCAGTGGCAGGAGGACTTAGAGGAAGAGGTTAAAGGTGAGGATTGGAACAAAATACGGTCACAAAGAATAATGAATAATATGTTTATAAGATAAAAGAAAATTGACTGGGGTTTCTGGGAGTTGCAGTTCAAAAGCATCCGAGTAACAAAGGTTAAGAACCACTGACTTAGAGGAAGAGGTTAAAGGTGAGGATTGGAACAAAATGTGGTCACAAAGAATAATGAAGAATATGTTTATAAGGTAAAATAAAACTGTCATAAGGTTGCATGGAGATGGTACTTAACCCCAGAAAAATTGACTACAATACTGCATTTTTCCATCTATAATACACTACTTTTTGCTAAAATCATTACCGTAAAAATTGAGAGGCATCTTTTACACAGAAGAAGCTGAGATAGCTGAGGAAAGAACAAAACATCACATACCTTGCCTCTGTAAATAGGCTTCCTTTATCCATAAGGCTTAGTTTCCTACAGTCAGGAAACTTCGCTTGCTCCAATCACGAGCCTTATGGAACTGGCGTCAGCTGATCCTGAACAAACCAAATGGAACACAACTCATTGGAAGTGGAGCCTGTAGGGTCAAGATTCAACTGAGACAAAATGTCTGCCATTCTGTGCCCAGAGGCTGAATCCTCAAAGCTAAGTTTTCTTAATTTGGGGGTTAGAAAATTGGGGGAGGTGTCTTATATATCGAGGCATGTTATAAACGGAAAATTATAGTAAATAAAAATGTGCTGTCTCAATGTTAGTGATGTTAAAAGGAAAAGGGGACCTATATGCATATGTGGTGGACTTGTGAAATAAGAAAGAAAGAGTGGGCACTTTTAAAAAAAAGAAATTAGAGAAATTCTTGAATATAATATTCAAATATCACCACTTATTGCCCTCCTAAATATAATTAAGAATGGCCATCTTAAAAAATAATAGAAAGAGTTAATAATTATAATGGTCACATTAGCAAGATTAATATTTGCAAAGAATTGGAAAAGTGACAAACAAATTAATGTTGAAGACTGGTACAAAGAAATGTGGAGTTTAGCGATTAATAAGCTAACCTGTGAAATGAAAATAAGAAGGGGAATAACAAAGTGTAATGATTTTAAAGAGGCATGGAATTTATATTTGGAGTATGTCTTTGTGAAAGGGAAAGATCATAAGCCCGCAGAAGAATCCATGTATTTTTGGAGTGGAATGGGGTGAAAAGGGATTAAAATGATATTTTTGGTTACCTAGTCCCAAGGGTGAAGGTGGCACAGGTAGGGAATTTAAAAAGGAAGAAGAATCCTAAGTCTGCTCCTGTCGCCCTTTGCTTATGTTTCTTTTCTGTCACTAATAATTTTAAGAGCTTCTCAATTAATGATCCCGGAAATGGTCCTACAAACTGAAGGTCTTGTTTAGTCTGACCGGATATAGTTCTCCATCTACAAATTCTTTTCTTGTTGATCACCATTAAACTGAAATAAAGCTTGTGGCACCTGAGCAGCTCCTACTATCCAAGCCCACCTCATGCTCCTTCTAACACTGATCTTTTCCTCTCTTGCACAGAATGTTTAACTGGAGATATGGCTGTTCCCAGACTATTTCTGTCATCATTATCATGTCAAACACAAGGAAGACAGTCTTTTGGTTTTGGCAATCATGATCTTTTCCTCTCTTGCACAGAATGTTTAACTGGAGATATGGCTGTTCCCAGACTAGTTCTGTCATCAGCATGTCAAACACAAGGAAGACAGTCTTTTGGTTTTGGCAATCATTTGGGCCAGGGTTTCGGGTTTTCTGTTAGGGCTCCTATCATGGAAATGTATTATTGTTGGTCCAGTACGATGGGGACTGAGAGAATCAACTCAGGAAGACATTCCTGGGTGGTGGATGTGGGACAGAGAAGATACTGGACTGTGGGAGTAGCCAAACAGGATTTAAGAGAACTGAACCAGATCCATTTAAGCCCTGAGAGAAGGGTCTGGGCCATGGGGAAGTTGTCACTAAACAGTGATCCATACAGTGCTAATGATGACACATACTGTGCATTCCCTCCTCCTGGAATACCTCTGGGGCAGTTCTGGATACCCAGCAACTTCAAGATCAACAACCCTTCTGTTTCACCGACAAGGATCCGTGTATCGCTTGACTATGAACAAGGATCGGTGACCTTTTCTGATGCTGATACACATGACCTCATCTATACTTTCAACAACGCCTCATTTGCCGGGGCAAAACTTTGCTCCTGGCTTAGTGTGGGACAGATATTAAAGTGGCAATGCTCTTTGCCTCACCAGCTGACAAAGCCCACGCCCTTTGGATTTTCTTGAACCAGAGACTGGTTGGGGGGGCAGGGTCCATGTG